GGAGCTCTAAAACGGCGCAAATTCGCCGTAGTCAGCCACATTGCTATTGCTGCTGCTGGTCGGACCCCGGTCGAGGCCTCCACGGCGATCTTTCCGGCGGACAAAAGTGACTCCATATCACCGGATATTGATTCGCTGAAGTTTGTAAAATGGCTTATTGGTTGGTAATTTAAAATTGAGGTTGAGCCTTGTGATTAAATTCATCTCTGCGGCCAATATAACTACACAATAACTTTTATTTTTTAATAAAGACTCATTTGTGTTTGCTTAGTTTCCATATTTAGGAAAATCATGATTTTTCTGGCATGGAGTATTGTTTGAGGAAGATGACGATTTGTACATTTCGATTTCTGATACAGAGGATCGTCTTATAGACGCAACTGTAGAGCATACTCTCATCATATTACAAATCGAGCTATAGAGGGTAGAGATTCGTGCTGATAACGTGTTATAAAACTAGAGAGAAAATAGAGAATATAGAGAATATAGAGAATGCTTTCTCTTGGTCGTATTTTCATTATAACTGAAGCTCCTATTTATAGGAAAACTTCTGATGGCACAATCGTAATAATACAATTACATTAGGGGTAAAATAGTCATTCATATATATTATTTTAAATCTCACGAGGTGCATGCACCTATATTATAACAAAAAGAAGATTATTTCAATTCAACTATTGAAGACGCTAGGCCCACTGGGGAATTTAATTGCTCTTGGCAAAGAAAATTACAAGTTAAATTTGTGTCAATTGGCTTGGACCTAATAAAAAGTAATTTTTAACATATTATAATGAAAAGTAATTTTTAACATATTATAAATACATAGTAGTTATTAAATAAATGAGGCTCCAATTTACTAATGGATCCTGGGCCATCGCCGAGCTTGCCCTGGCCCAGGGTCGGGCCTGGTTGCAATTGTTGATATTGTGGCCCAAATGAAATAAATTTTGATACTCAATATTCTATTTTCTGGCCAATCTCTTTGGCATGAGCCCAATTTGGCAGCCCATTGTAGTTTACATCATCTTGGCATTTTTCCTCTTAACCTGCCAGGTAATTTTGGAAAGGGACCCATTGATCACCTTGAACGGGTTAAACGACATATATCGCTCTTGTTAATAGAAGATATGATAGTGGGTTAAACGACATATATCGCTCTTGTTAGTAGAAGATATGATAGTGTAGTGTTTAGAGTGGGTTTAGTAAGTTGATGTTATTTTTGGTTTGTTGGGGGGTTTTTGTGCAATAAGGTTTGTAATTTAAGGAGGGTTTTATTGAAATATGTGACACTATCCAGTTAAAAATATGTACTCATTTTCCATCACTTGCACCCAAGCTGCGAACGACTAAAATTGTATGTACAAAAAGCCGACACACGCGTTAGGGGTCTAAATTGGGTCACTCTATGACTAAACATAACTTGAATTATATATAATAACTTTAAGGCTAATCTAATTCGAAATATGTACAGTTTGAGCCCCTTTGAGGTATTGTACAGTGACATAAAATTTTCTAACATGTGATGTTTGATAATAAATAACTAGAACATTGGATTCTAACACTACAAACACAAGAGAAAATAATACTCCATCCATGCTACAATAGTTGCAGTTTTAGCTTGGATCTTTTATTTTTTTTTTAATTATTAAATATTTGCTGTTTTTGGATTTTCAAACATTTTTTCCACCTTTTTTTATTCATTCTTGCTCTTTTATTTGATTTTCTTTAAATAGAAGAATATTCTAGTAAAAATAATTATTCATAATTTAAAAAATGTGAAATATACAATTTTCCTATGCTGCCAAGTCAGAAAAGAGAACACAACACAATAGAAAAGGAAAGAGAACTTGTGATGAACTTTTAAGGGAGAACGTTTTATAAAGTCGTATCTTAATTTACGAATAGATCTTAATTAGTTCATAAAAAAATTCTTGCGCGTGCCATTCACAAAATGTCATGTATACACTATAAAATGTCATACTTACATTTAATTTATTTTATAAAATAGACATTTTCTTGTGAAAAAATTACAAGTTTGTTAAAATAATAAAATTAGTTGATAAGCTAGCTGATAACTTATAAAGTTCAAGCTTATAGTTAATAACTGTTGAGGTTTATAGCTGAAAAGTTAGTTGATATGATAAAACTTTTAGTAATGACTAATGATAAGTCAGCTGAACTAAAAATTTGAACCGGCTTAATAGAAAAGCTACTCAATGAAGATTATGAAATAAGCCGAGCATTTCAAAAAAGTTCATCCTACCAAATTAAACTTGTTTGCATACAGGAAACTTATAAGCTAGCTTATGGTGCTTACCAAACACTTACTGATCTTCATCACCATAAGTGTTTACCCAACTAAACAAACCTTCATGACTGCACACACAAAGAAATCGATCATCGAAATTATTCAAGTACAACTAAGCTATTCCCGGTTTACACCACAAAGAATTAAAATTGTCAAACTACCATGGCAATCAAGATACAACACACACAAAATAAGTAAACAAATGAAGAACATAATGAAGCTCAATGTTTACTACAACTTCAAAGAAAGCCATGTATCTGTTAGAAGTCACAACCATCACGAACCAAGTCGAAAATCATTATCTATGGATAGATTAAATTAACAAACCAAGTCGAAATCCATTATCTATGGACAGATTTAAAAATTAACAGTGGTGCCCATTATCACTCAAATGACATGCTCAAGCTCAACATTTTTTAAAAGTTTCTATCTTTGGTAGTTGCCAATTAGGTTTCTAGTTGCTCCTGTCAATACATTCAGATTTGAAAATATCATGGCTTCTAGAGATTCTTAATCATATACACATAAACTTCACCAGCAGTCTTAAATGTGTTGGGTTCGCTATACCGTACGGGGTAAAACGCAGCGGAAATAAATCGAAATATATAAGCACTTATCTAATAAATACTAAACCCCTTTGTTAAAATAGCGATTGTTACAATCGGCATCTTTTAAAATCACGTAAAAGTACGAATTTTGATTTGTATAGAATTTCAAAAATTACCTTTAGTTTTCTTCAAATAGCGACGATGAAGAGGAAATCAATTCCCGGTTATGTGGCTATCACCGTCTTCTTACTCCGTAAGGGATCCAAGTGTCTCCCCTCTAATCGAGTCCACCCATTTGGATTTCGACTCCGAGAACAATTTCTTCGCTAGTAGAAATTTTCCGAAATTGAATCGGTATAAGGAATTAAATTGAGAGGAGATTTTCTTTTTTTTAATTTTTCTGTGAAAAACTCGAGAACATCTAATGCCATCTTTCACAAAATAGATGGGAAAAGTTGCAGGTTATTTCCTCNTCATTTTTATCTTTAATCTTAATTAAAGATTAATTAAAGATAATGACACATAATTTATGAAACTAACTTTTAAAATTAATTAGTCAAAATCTTATCTCCCATAAAAATAAAATCTCCTCTTTTATGTAGGCTTTTAATATATAATCATATTAATATTTGGATTTGAAATTTTAAAGTCCAACTTTAAAATTCAACTATTAATTTAGTAATTTCAATAATTACTTAATTAATATCTAAAGTCTAATTAATTAATCTAATTGATTAATTTATTATATTCCTTTAATTGACTTCTAATCAAAATTAGATTTAATTAAATAATCAAATTATTTAATTAAGTCTTGTCAATTAATCCAACTATTGGAAATACCAATTTCAAAATAGTCATCATCCAAAATTTGGTGTGACCCTTTTAGGTTCACAATTAACACTAGTAGTGGGTTTACAACTAGTTTGTAATTTATATTAATCTAATTAGTTTATATTCTTGAAATTAACTCCTTAATTTCAAGAACCCACAAATCATGGTAACACGTAGCAAGTAGCATGATTATCTAGTGTTAAGTGAAATAGCGAGTAAATCTTTTCAATTGCAAGTGCATACATGTAAAATCCTTTCGACAACTAATTTCCCGATTAAATCTTGGGCATGGATTTATAAGTCGAAACCCAATTGATTTAATAACTATGATTCCATTTCAAGTTTAGTGATTCCTTTATGACTCCATATTCATCCTGCCTTGGCCAAGGTCTTTGAATCACAAACTATGAAAAACATAGGAAATTCACTTATCCACATAAGTGTCGAATTCTTTGTTGGCCACAGATAAACCTCCATACATATTAATACAGTACCCAAAATATCCCTTTTATGATTGTCCAGCAATCAAAGGATAAATCAAAGTAAAGCACAACATGCACAAGATTACTATCGTGCCTCAAGTCAGAGGATCAATCATGTACTATTGCAACATGAAAATTCTTATTCGACAGTTAAAACTTCCAGTTAAGAATTTTCATCGGGCCATGTTCAGTGAACTTGTTCTCCAACTAGCACCCGCATATATGCATTCGCGTCCACACGCTAATGTTGATGGAATGCAACATTTTCATCCGATGAGCATACATCATATGCACAAGTCTTACCGGGTTATTCGACGTCCTGTCTCAAAACACCCATCGACTTGGAACTTATTTAAGATCGCAGCTTTAAAGACATGAATTGCCATCATATGCGCAACCATGTCTCATAGCTAATAATGATCTAAAGACTTTATCATATGTGCAAATATAGGATAAATGCAAATACATAAGATAAAGTTATGCCTCAAAATAATATAATTTCCAATAAATTGTTTTATAAGTAGAAATAAATCCAATCTGATTGGAACGTCGGGCATTCTACTCTAACAAAATGCTCAACAACATAAATCAAACTAACCTTTTTGATGATTCAAAGGAAAATGATACATTGTACAAACTTCAAAGCTGTGATTTTGATGATTTTAACAACACAGCTCAAGGCTAATTCATACAACCCTACAAAAAAAATCCAATCTTGGATTGCTAAACTCTACTTACCAAGAAAATTTTCAAAAAATCCATAAAAGGGATTTCAAATTTCAAATCCTTTAAGCTCCACTCTTGAACTATTTGGAGAATGAGAAAAATAATTCATAAATCAGCAGCAAGCCCATCTGGGCTCTGATTGCATCTCAGGAAAAGATTAATTTTCGGAGGTAACAACATAGATCTACACAAAGGGCATGTGACCTGTCCCTCGTCAATCCATGTATCCAAACACTGGACATGGAACAAATGGCTACAGATGCAGAGATCCCTAACCCAATCATCCAATCCCACGCGCTCTAAGCAGATGCTGCACGCGCTGTCCACCTCATCGATCTCCGGCGCGCTTCCCCGCCGGGAAGCGCAGTAGTCTCTGAACCGGACAATTCGAACCCGGTTTTTTATAGCGGCGACGACCGCGCGGACCGGGACGGGGACGAGGGAAGGGAAGGACGGGTCGAGGATGAGGATATAACTGTCGCCGTTGGACTCGACGGCGGATTCTTGCTCCGGCGGCGGCTTGTAGAGGCCGAGGCGGGAGAGCGCGCCGGTGAGGATGAATCTGGCGTTGGTGAATATGCCGAGCAAGAATGTGGCGGTGAGAGCCCTTGGTATGGAGATGGCGTAGTACAGAAAACCCATTTTTCTTTTCGGATGAAGGTCTGTAAAAAATTGAAAATGGTGGGTTTGTGATTTGTAGCGGACGGAGAAGATGATCGATAGATTGGGGATGATTGGTAATTAGCAATTAAATGTAGGCATGATTGTTAATTTATAGAGCTCATTGGTGCCTTTCTGAATT